CCTTTTACCAATTTCGTTGCCAGCCTCTGCGGACGTTCTAGAGCCTTCCTGTCGCGGGTTTACAATAGGAGAAACCCGTTTCCCATTCAAAATTCTATCTGCACATCGACATCATAACAGTGTTATTACACATTATTATTATTATTATTAATATTCATTTGTGTTAATCTCATACCCATTGTTGCTAACCTTTCATCTCACCTTTGATGCCAGCTTTATCATTTGTTTCTCTTTTTTTAACAGATTGCCCTCTCATTTCACTCTGATTTGTAAATCATACTGAAAATTCATTGACTAATGCGCCTGAGGCATTTCTTGACTTTGACTCAACCCATATCCATCAAGAAATGGTTACGGTACGCCATCTGGTCGCGGCTTTTAGGCCTCAAATACCCTAGACCCGATCTACCCCACCTTTCAAGCCGTCCTCCGGAATGTAGCCACTTATGCTGACTTCAACTTCTTGTAGTAAGATTTGAGAGTTTGCCACTCGGGAGAGAACCAAAAGAAGCATTACACCCCAAGGGGAGCAAAGATCCTACCGCTTGCACCGTTCCAAACCAATTTTCCCAGACCATAAAAACCTAATGCAATTAAGAACATAGTGTAGGCGAACATGTTTTCGGTGAATTCCTTTTCAAGCCTTTACAATCACATTTATGGGAAACAATTTCAATAAGGTCAGTCAGAAAAGTAGATGAGTCATGTGTTTGCCAATAAGCCCAAGGGAACTCAAAATTCGTGCGCAGTTTGGATCACATAACCAAAAACCAATGGAGTTTCAGAGCTTGATTCAATTTATGTTTTGCGCACAGCTCAGGCTTTATGAGTCGGATGCTAATCGCCTTTGCGGTTGCTAACGTCCAAAACCGTATTGCTCTCGAGGGGTGTGGTGAGACCCGATAAATGATTGTAAATGCCGAGCGCATGTCTACCAAGTGTCCCGTCTTTACCAGATTGGCAACGATCGAGCTTAACACAGCTCCACTCCCACCCTGTGTGAGCCAGCGTGTTCTTTGATCCGTTGAAATAACCGCCTTGTCGTTCGACCTACATAAGTAGCACCACAGGTGCACTTGAATTGGTAGACAATCATAGATGAGGTCAACATAGGAAGTTTTCATTTGTTGTAGTATTGGATGTTTGGTGACGTAGAGAACACACATCTTAGCTGAGCAGCATTGAATGTAGATTTTACTGCTGAGGATAAAACTCTACTGACCCTCTTAGTGGCGACGTCGCCCCTCAAATGGAAGTTTTATAAGAAGCATTTTCTTCTCCACTGTTGGCATTTGTGCTGGCTTATTCTGTTCGGTCCAATTACGGTCGATAAACTTCTCAGGATAGCCATTTTCCAATAAGGTTCTCCTCATTAGTTCAAGTTCGTCCTTCAACGTATCTTCCGAACAGTTGCGCTTTGCTATCTGTAGGTGACTGCGTATGAGGTTACGTATTTGATAGTGTTACGAAGCTATGAAAATTTGTTTACCATACACTCCATGTTGCCATACGATACATCTTTCTTTGAATAGAGTCATCGGGGCGTCTAGTCAGATGAACACTCAAGAACCGAAGACAGTCATTCTCCTCTGGTTCAGTTGTGAACTTAATTGACAAATGTGCAGTGTTGAATTGTGACTCGATTTGGACAAGATTAGTGGTCTTGTTAGGCACACAAAAGATATTGTCTACATAACGGTGATATTGTTCGAAAGATGTAATAGCCGTAGATAAGGTGTTGTCTCTAACTTGGCCATGAATGTGTCGGCGAGAACAGGTCCGAGGGGTGAGCCCATAGCAACACCATCGACTCGGCGGTGGAAAGTGTTATTAAACAAAAAATTGTACATTTCGTGTGCATTTAAGTATGAGTTCCTTGAGAGTTGATAAGTTCACAAATGAAATCAACCGTTTCTAAGAGGAGAACATTTGTAAAGAGAGAAACAACATCCAAAGAGAACATCAGTCGGTTGTTAATATTCACATTTTTGGTTTTTCAACAAACTGAAAAGTATCTCGAAGTGTATGCTTGGCGATACGTGTGTGGTTGATGGCATAATTATTCTGACAAATTTGTTTTCACTGCACAGGGGTTTTCAACCGGGAAATGGAATTAACTGTGTTTATTCACCGACCACTTTGACACAATTAGTGATTTGCTTTTTGCCTAATTTTAGCTAATTTTTCCACAACTGTGACTAAAACCAGACGGTCCATACGTTCATAGGCGTTCGATCATATATTCTGTTTCTTCTACCAGATCGGTGTTGGTTTGGCTTCATTTTCCAAAGATGGCCGCTTTCTTGCCACTCGGAATGACAATGCCCCACGGGCTCTGTGGATTTGGTCCATCGATCGTCGGCTGAGTCTGTTCAGTTTGCTCGTGCACACTAGTGGTCCAGTGCAATGTTTAGCCTGGGATCCAACAACTCCGGCTCGTCTGGCACTGTGCACTGGCTCAGACAGTGTATTCATGTGGACCCCTCAGGCATGCCTTGTGGTCCAAGTAAGCCACTTTCATCGCTTTCATCTAGCCAGTGCTCAGATCTGAGGTCTATTTGACGGGTTATCCTCTGAGCTTATCCAAAATAGGGTAGACCGCACACAGGCTCTTTGTTGAAATTGAAATGGTTAGTAGTTGAAGTTTTGGCCTGTTTTGGTAGCTTAGTCGGATACCATTGCTTTCTTTTCCCACTTCAATCGGTGAGTTTCACCACGCCTATCTCCCATAACAATATAGATTGTTGTTATTAAGGCCATACAGTGTATGCATGGTTTATTGCTTAATATTTGAGTCGTGTTCCATGTTTTTCGGAGAAAAATGCGAATCAAAGCCATTTATCAACACCCTTGCATTGGCTTCACATCGGTGATAAGTGCAATCTTATTTTATGCCCCACAAACTTATTGTGCATAGGGGATGCATGAGTATTATCGGCATTTCAGCGATATTGTGCTGTTGGAACTACCGTACCGATACATGAAATGTGTTCAACTCATGAGAAATCAGTAATAGTCTCAGTTGGCATGCAGGGATAGTGTTTTCTAACCGAAATTATCAATCGGTGGACGTTAGACGCCTCTGCAAATTAGATTGATGGGCAAATGTGAATAGAGCAGTGCTGTTGATGCGGCCTCGTGGTTCAGTTGGTAGAGCGTGTATGAACAACATCCATGCGTGCCTCCGGATCACACCGAGGTTCCGGATCCTTTCACATTTCAATCACTAGTAACTTTCATTCTGTTATCAACTAAACTCACTTGATTCGAAAAATGAAATGTTTGATCACCTCTGTTCCCATCGTCCAATTCACCAGATTTCGAAGTAGACGAATTGCGAGCTGCATGCATTCCATTCACGGCCTTCGGTTGTGACGTGAAATATTATATACATATACACCACAATCAAGGGTAAGAACAACAGTAATCATAGTTGCATTGAATGTTCAGCAGTGAGCGGCAGAAGGTGGGGGGAGGAGAACAGTCGATTGAACGAACGTTCTAGATCAGTTGCTTTTGTACGCAAAAAATAGTGGATTGTGAGTCATGATGAGCAATATTTTGCTGAAGGCTTGCAGTGTCTTACTTGAATTGCATAAATATATTCTAACTGAACAGTTCCGCTCTGTCATGTGATCTGTGGTTAAAATGGGTGTAGCAATCAACCGAGCTAGGTTGTCATTATGGCTTACGTCATCAATTGGTAGGGCCGTTTAGGTAAGTGCTCTGACACTTGCTGAGCTAAGCATCGCTCGATTTTGCTAGATGATAAGCGATCGCAAGTGTACTTGAAATGATGAGCCACCAGTGAGGTGTTGAGATCTGTGCGATTGTTTGAGTGCATTTCAAGGTGTGATCCTCTTTCATCGACTTTAAGTTATGATTTATTCGATTCAATAGCGGATCACTTGTATGTGGCAGAATACCGCTTGATCAAAAAGAAGATACTCGGGGCCTTTGAATTTGGCCGTATCATTTTTTTGTCGGTATCGTTGGAGTTTTGGCATTTTCTTATCACACATTACCTCTGGATATACCTTCATATCAATTACGGTGACACCAATGATTACCTACAATGCGCTCAGTTTAACTTTCGTTCCAATTCTTTTTCTGAGGCGTGTTGTCTCGTCTCATCAGAATTTTTGTGCCTCTGCTTTCCTTTCATTCAGTGGATCGCGAGTCCCAAACAAATACCATGGAAGTTACTAGATGAACACGACTGCATTTTGTGTTTCTTTGTGCGATGTTGCACCTTTATTGATCATGTTTTAAGTTGCCCGACTATTTACATAGGTGTCACAGAAATTGATCTTCTGTGCTGTCCGTTACCACTGTCTTCTTCTTTTCCACGAAGCGCGAAATTGCCACTGTCAGGTTTTATTTCGATCAAAAATTGATGATTGGTTTGTCATACTAGACTATTCAACGCTAAAATGAAACCTACCGATTAAGGCCCAGTTCTGTACGTTCTCTATCCTCAAAATTAGAGTCATCAAAAACCCGTTTTCCAATCATTTTCGCACACGATGATGCTCAATTTCATGACGCTCTTGAGTTATACTACAAACACTTGCGCATTGTAACGTCTCGAAAGTAGTTGGCCCAGCTATCTTACGGATGTAGACATTCAATACTATACAATTGATTGAAACAAAATAAACTAGCGCACAACTTAAAGTGTTTAATGTCTGTGATAAAATAAGATCGATGACCGAACAGGATGATGTGAGATTGATACTATAACTCGTTTGACCAACCACGCAACAAAATAAACCTTGAACTCTATGATTGATTTACATCAGCGGTTTGATAGAATGCGAAATTCTCACCCATAAAATCCCTGTTCTAAATGAAAACCCTTGATACGCTTTGGGTTTCTTATGTTCTGCGCTGTTGTGTATGCATCGACGATCTTCGTTGTTGGCGCGACAGTCGCCTATCTGCATAACTTAAATACGGGTGCGCGTACTTACTGACCCTCCACGAGGTGAACCATCGTGAGAATGATCCGTTGCTCAGCAACAATTGAGCTGATTGACAAATCAGCATCCGGATTGGCTAGATCACAGACATTTTATGAATATTTGGTTAGATGAGCCTATTCTTATTTTCACATGCGCCAGGCACTGTATATGATCCTATTGTATTGTGATTGTAGGTTTCACCCTTTAGGGGTTCACGTATTCCTCAAATCACCCCATAATTTCATCACATTTAAATGCATCTCATGTGTTGTTAATCCGCAAACTCTCGATGAGTGAAACGCACAATCATATTCATCCAAACCTAACATTTCAACTGAACGTAGTCATTCGCTCCGTGGGTTGATTGTCGACCATGTAACTCAGGGTTAATAGTTAATGGTCTGTGTTTCGAGTTCAAGTTGAGACACAAACGAACGCACTACTGATGAATCACAATAAAGACGAAACAGGTATTCAGTGCTTAGACATCGCGCGATAATTCAATCGCATTCAAATTTGCGGTAGATGATTGGCGGATAACAGGACGATGTTTGCAGTCTAACTGCTAAACGTCAAAAACCGAATAGGATAATCCAAAATTGATTGAGCCATTCGCACAATGTGTAACCGTCGACCGTGTAGCTCAGGGTTTGAAATCCCAACCCGAATGTTCGCGATTCGAGTCCTGACAGGGACACAAAAAGTACGCACTGTTGACGAGTCCCAGACAGGACGAAACAGCTGTCCAGTGCTCTTAGTCGGTTATGACAAACATTTCAACCGCATTTATATGAATGTGTTTGCAATTAAGAGGAAAACTACTCTTTTTTTATTTCGGCTAGGCGTTGGTTTTTACATGTGAGGTTAAAGAGAGAAAACGCAAGTTTGGGACACTGCGCGACGTTTATCCGAATTCGGAGAAAGAGCTGTCGAACTCCAGTCGTTTTAAAGGTGTTGAATAATGCACAGTTAAAGCATTGTTTTTATTTTTTATTGTCCCATAGCCCGTTCAAATGTTCCAACTGCCTAATCAGGACTGATTTCTGATTCTCTCGATGTGGTCATATCTGATCTTCAATGTGATATTCGGTCACTTTGTTTCATTCTGTTCGTTTCTCAGAAAATTTTCATAATCAACCGAAGCTTATTGCATCAAACGAAGTAAAAGCGCCCTATTGATTTAGAAACACCCTCCAGAGCGTATGAAGATTGAACTAAGTTACATTTACCGTATTTATTCGCAGACCCCACCGCACTTCAAATTCACAGTGAATTCAGTGGCTTGGTCTCCGCGTGGCGATTCGATTATTCTCCTCTCGGATACTCAATTCTGCCTATGCTTCCTGGATGAGGCGGAAGATGACAAACAACGCTTCGGCGAACGAATTCACGACCCTGTTTGGGTACCCCCAAGACGTCAAATGAGTGATCTACCATTCCACATTAATCCGACAGGAAACGAGTCAGCTCCACCGCTCCCTTTAGGTGTGTTCGGAATGAATCCGGGCGACAACGAATTACGAGAAGAAGGCACTGCTGATCGCATCGGGTCATCTATTGGTGACACTCCGAACTGGTTACGACAACGTGTGGCACCAAAATCGGATAGAGATTCAGTTCGCCGTCGAAGTCTGACCACCGAACAGGTACCCAAATCTCACTCGAATCGTGCCTTGTCTTCTATTTCTGCAGGACGTCAGGCATGGGCACCGGCACGTGGAAACCCTCTGAAGTCCTCAAAACAGAATTCTGTTGAGGAACCTTCGTGATTGCATCATCTGCTTTTTTCCCCATAGTTTTTTGTCTGAGTTGCTAGGTTATCCAACCAATTGGTTGCTCTGTCACTTTCCTAATGTTGCATTTATTTCTCGTCTCGGCTGTGACCTCACTCGCTCATTCCCATTGTGAAGAGTTTTTTAACGCTAACATCCAAGCGATTTATCAAATATATTTTAGTTTACTTTGACTTGGATTGGTCTTCTTTCGTCGAAGTGCCGCACTCTCTTGCGTTGCACCCCAAGCGTGTCTATCCGTGTAGTGCACACGCAACGGGAGTCATGCCTTGATTGTCACGTTGTTGTTCTCGGTAATTCAATCGCTGTGTACGGTTAAACATCTCCAGTTGTCAGTGTTTCGTCACACGTGCAATCCATTCAGGTAAGCGAACTGATGCATGATTTCATCTCGTGAGAATAGACTGAATTTGAGGACGTGATTGACGTCTCTCCATCGCTGCTTGTATCTTTTCGCGCTTGGACAACCAACCAGATAAAAGTTTTGTTTAAGTTTTCGGTAATTTATCGCGAAATCTGATTTTTAAAGAACCCGAAATTAATCTGGATCCGTTTACTTGATAGAAGGAAACCAACCATTGGTCGTCAGATTATAGTTTAGTGCCCGGGGAAATGTAAATCTATACTAGAGGACTCGATCATGTGGTTTGGATTGAACATCCTAGTTGGTGACCTTATCGTCAGCTTGATCAGTGGTTAAAAATACTGGCTGATGGTGTTTGAGACGACAAACGAACGGGACAGGTTTATTAACACAACAGAAAAAGTTTTATTGATGAAACATAGGCACATGAATTTTCATTTTTCTGACCACGCTCAGGAAAGATTCACGTTCCTACTCGGTTTCGGTTGCCCCTATCTGCGTTCCTCTAACTCTCTTTGTCGGTCATTGAATGATCAGAAAATTCCACGGTCAACTTTTTGGAAACGAAAAAGGTTGACATGGGAGATTTAGGCGTTGTGGCATACCAACACACACCAGGGACTATTTTGTAGTAATCTGTACAGCCTAATAGACACTGTAGTATTTTAGTGGTGCACCGCTGTCTGGTCGAGTCGATCGGGGATGATCTAACAACATAGATCATGCATTATCCTGCTGCGCAGTTGAAAATTGGCTCTATTTAGTGTCTGTGACTTCTTTTTCAGTTTGATCAATGGTCGTTGATCTGCCGAACGGAGTGAGTGATAACCAAGTTGTCTGATGGAATGTTGCGCGTCAGAAGATCCGACAAAGGGAGAGGGTTGGGTAAGGAAGACAAGGTTAAACAAAGGTCGGGATGTCTGAGCGGTAGCCCACTTATAACTATCTGCCCCACCCGATGGGTAGCGTGGTTCTGATTACCCTATGCAAAGATCGATGCTATCTGGAATTATTGTTGGTTTTTCCATGCATTATAGCTTGGCGGACGAGTATTGCTAGGATGTCCAGTTATCATGCAGATGAACTATTAGGGTTCTTAACCGAATCATTATATTCTGATCGCACAGTTCAGCTCAGTTTTTCCAACTGAGCACAACGCACCCGGTGAGGCATAATGAAAGCCCATCTGCTTGCATCGATTTCCTATCCACTATTTTGCTGACTGAGACACCAAGTCGAGTCGAACTCCCAACCTGGAGAACCAGGAGATTAAACTTTGTCCACTCTCAGACCTTCGAGGTATGGTCGGAGTCTTGATAGAAGTCATCCAGTGTAGCTCGTTCGGTCATAGAGGTGCACAAGCGACCCCTTTAAGTCAGTATGCAGTCTCTTCGAGATGGGATTTTACCGCGCAGGTTGAAAAACTAAGCGCTTTTCAAACCTGTTGTAGAGGCTTTTGCATCTTTTCCTTCCGGCGAACTGAGGTATCTGAGCTTGCAGACTGAATGCGTTAATGTGGAGGCGAAACTCTGGCACCAAGCATCTTCAATATAGGTTGTAATACAACCTTCATGCCTACGAGATGGGAGGGAACGATCAGCGCGATGGACCGTGAACCCATGAAGTTCGACAATATGGTCAATTATTTCCTCGAGAAGGTAGGTCTCCGGAGGGAATATGATTCCAAGTTAGGAATAATCTCAACGTTGAATGAAGTCACTGACGTCTACGAGACTTTCAAGCAGAAAACGGACATTGCTGCACAAGGGTAATTGACTTTTTCAGTTCTGCGAGGATCATCGGTTCTATACCATCTGCCGATACAGCTCTGGACAGGCGTCAACACGATGCTCTAGCTCAACAAGTAAGTTAACCCAACTCGACCACAGCAGTAAATTACCATTACCGTGACTCGGTGCAAAGTCCTGTTGAACCACCTGCACTCAGTCTGACCTTGCTATATTCCTCGACTAATTGACCTACGCTAAAATTCCCAACCTCTGTTAGTTGATCGTCGTCTGTCTGTGCCCGTTGTAGATTTCATCCTTATGAATTGCTCTGCGACGCCAGATTGCTTCCGTGTGTTCCCTTTCTTTGTACGGCCGTAACTTTTTGTCGCATTCATTCCTCAAGTTCACTGATGACAGCCTTTCCATCGAATGGGTAAATAGTTGATGCTTCCACATAAAACGCATTGAAGTATTCTTATTGGTTAGACAGTGCTGCACTGAACAGACAGCAAACTGTTGCAACTGGTACTAGAGCCAGAAATCCAGCTGAGAACTGTCCTTAAGAACTCTGGAGGGGCAGGTTCTCTAAACCTTCTGTAGAGTCGACCGTTTCGACATATAATCACTTATCCGAGGTATTGTAAGTAGTCAAATTGGTAACCATTAAGACTATGGTACGTTGTTCACCTTATTCACAGGGAAGCATGCGCCAGGGGGTAAATTTCAGGTTTCTATCTCTACTATTGCAGTCCGTCTATAGAGTTCCTAATTAAATAGCATTGAGTGTGTGTCGGTGTTCACAGCACAATACATGTGTGGGCGTAATGAGACTGCATTTGTGCATATGCAACAAAATTTTTGTCTGGTTCTCAGCGCTGGAATGACAGGTTTGTCGGGAATGCGGTGTGAAACAAAACAAAATATTTTCAGATATCTGATTATCAGTGGTTAGTGATTAGATTGTTAGAAAAAAACATTGTTATAACTATAGTTCTGAACTGCAGTTCGTGTTACCATTGATATTGAAATACACATTGAACCATACTAATTGGTCTATAATCAAAGCTGGTAGCTTTGTTAACATTGTTTAGCGTGACTGAAATTACAGTAACTGGAACGGAGTGAAACAATCTGGTTCGAAAAGTTATCAGACATCAAATTCCAAATGTATGATCAGTCACAAGTTCTCATCGGTTTCGACTGCTCAAGAAGGCTCAATACGCTAATAACTGATTTCCAGCAGATTGACAAACTCATCTGTGGATAGAGAAGTCACGCTGCTGCATTTGTACACGTGCATGCTGCAGTCAAAGTGATTTATTTTTTAGTCAGTGAAATTAAGAGAAGATAGCTAATCACAAAGGACAACAAGATTCAAAAACGCTAAGTACGGGAGAGAATAGTCATTCATACTGTCAGACCCGATCTATGGAAACAAATTAAATGATTAGTCGAATTGGCTTTGCCTTGGTGATTAACCCCTACCTTTCTTTGTATTAGTGTGTCGTAGTGATCGTAGCAGTAGTAGTAATACGCACGGAACACAAACCACGCAGTAGAAATCACAGGACACGAATCAAGGATCAGCTATCACGGAAGCATTGTACTGCAGTGGCACTAGTACGCAATGTTCCACGTAAATGAGGCGAGGGAAAGGCCACAAGAATGGTAGTTCGTAGTTCATTTATTGGAAGAAATAAGGGCGATTAAATAATATGTACAAAAGAGGATCATTGGTTATCCGGGCTTACACCAATCGTATCGCATAATTCTGCTTGTCTGGACAACACTGTCTCGGATTGGCTGGCACGATCTGCCTGTAGCGTGTGGTCAGAAGCCGTGACACGTACGCGCGTCATTGCCGTCACCTTTCAAATTTGATTGATCGCAGGTGTCCAGAAACTGTAACGCGCCGCTCCAGGGTAGGCGTCATGACGTAGGCCCGGATCACCATGGTCGTGTTGTCCTTTTTGATTAGCGATATTGTCTTCATCTCACGGCTGTTATTCTTCTGACCATAAAAATGACTTCAACTGCAGTATGCTTACTTACTTATGTAGCGAAATGACGATGGATACACTGTGCAAAACCATGTTTCTGGCTTCTCTGTTCGAATTTCTGACGGGAAAATAGTGTTTTCAGACTCATCTATGTTCACATCCACGGGCGCTCGTGCAAATCAGTTCACTTTATGATGAATTCTTCATGTGAATTAGGCGGGAGCTAAAAAACTAGAAGGCATTGGACAGCTGGTTTGATCCCGTCTCTAGTGCGAATCCATCGACCTAACTGTTTTTATTACACACAGTTGTGATTAACTGAAGACAGGATGGATCTCATTGTCACGAATACGTGCTGTTCAGCGAGCAGAACCGACAGCCTAAGCCCCAGGACTGATCAGATCGCCCTTCAGCTCACGATAAGTTCATCATATAATCTAATGAAATCCTCCAGTAAAAAATGACCTTGAAATTCCGTGCACTGGTTTCGATTGCTACTTTTTGTTTCATTCAATGGGAATAGTTGAACATAAACAAACAATTGAGAGCAACAACAAGACGGATGGACACAGAATGCAAATATACAAAAGGAGAAGATCAGTGCTGTTCACGAAGCTCAACTCTGTTGTCCAAGGTCTGTAGTAATTGATTTGGTCGGTCACGAGTTCCCCAGTTCGGAAATCTAAATAAATGAGTCGCTTAGTAAATATTCCTATGCCCGGTTATAGTCTCACGAACCCTGGTATTTTTCTAACCACCTTCCATGTTAGCAGACGTAGCACGTCGAGGTAGTCTACTCGGGGACACGCATTATGCACTAATTGCGTTGGTACACCATCGTGTCTCTCTAATATTCGCCATCACTTGTCCCGTTGTTCCATC